GAAGTAAAACCACAATACCAATATAATCAAAGAATCTAGTGTTCCAGACGTGAGGCCTTCTCTTTTTGTGGCACTCTCAGAGTTGTGCAAACACAGGCTTGGGCAGATGATACTCTAAAGTGTGTGGACTCAGAGTGGCCCCATGCTTTGTGGAGCGGGTTCTGATAACCTGCCACCTGTGTGCTTCCTGGAATGTTTTACAGAGCAGGGCTGCTACAACCTCCACTCAAAGGCTTCTCACAACTACACAACTACTTCACTAGTACTGGGAGAATTACCATTGACAAGGTTTACATGGTTCTTAATTAGTCCATCATCTCTGCAGTGCCCTCTATGAAAAAAAATTACATTATCCAACCACTTTTCTACAGCACGAGCTCCAACTTACGTCAGTGGGGTGAGCTGCAGCACAGCCACATATTGGCACGTCTCATGATATGTAACGATTCAGGTTACGTCAATGCACTGACAATGGCCAGTAAATTTCTAACTGATTTATAAAACAACCCAGAACCAATGAACTAATTGTGTTTCAGTGGAAAATGTCACTCTCTGCCGTTAAGAGTCAGTGACCTGTGGGATTTTCTTCTGTTGTACAACTCACACATTTCACACCTGCTTCCTTAGTACGGCACTAAACGCACAGCAGAACAGCAGAACGGCCGCTTATCAGAAAATGTGTAGCATCTGAGTGAACACAGATAGAGTATCAAAACCTCGGACAGAGAGAGGGAGTTCACTGGGTACAAGGACTAAATGTTTAAGGTCAGACTTGTTGCCCTACAAATTAACACAATCTACAAGAGTGTAAAAAAAATTTCCCTTAGTCTACCTGTAACACACAACTTCTAACCACCATACAACTGCATAAAACTGTCAACATGCTGGCTTAGAATGTGATGGGTTCAGCAGCACTAACCACACTTACCAAGAAGTGTTGTACAAAGAAGTTAGTGATCAGCAAAAAAGACTAATGGCATCACAGTCAACACCCAAATTACCACTGTCTACAGCAGATTTGGGCATTGTACAGCTTCCAGGCCACATACAGCCCCTTGGTTGACAATGACTGGCCCCTTTAAACTAATTTGGAATTACAATATTAACATTTTCTAATTTTACCTCATGCGTGGACTAAAGCTGCAATGCTTTTATTTTAGGTGTTTGGTTTTTTTTTTAAATGACATTCATTTTTTTTGTAAGGCAACATCACTTTTTCATTTTGCTTAGTCATAACATATACTCTTACCAGCTTGTCAACACAATGCTATTTACTGCTTTTTATAAAGAAATACAATTAATATTACACAGAATTGAGTTGAGCATTTTGGCTCGGCCCTTCACAATATTTTCTGTTTCTCATGTGGCCCCATGGAAAAAAAAAATTGCCCAATCCCACTCTACACCATAAACTTACTTTGCCGTGTAAAGAAAATAATGCCTACACTCACCTGATTGGAGCTGAACAGGTAAGGTAAAACCCTTTCTCTTTGAACAACAACAACCTGTGCTACCTGTTGCTACAGCCCTAGTCCTGAAGCATCATCTAGAAGTGGTTTCATTGGATTATTGCAGCGCTGTGGCAACAACAGTAAACAAACAGCAGGCCAATGAGGACTGGAGTAATTAAGCCACAGCACGCAGTAAGGCACTTCAGAGACCTAATACCCATGTGTGTTTGGTTTATGATATAAAAACACGCCAGTGTTAAGGAAAGAAGTGTCTGAGGCCTGGAGTCTCGTAATGCCAGACGAACTGACCAAACAAACAGGTCTGCCCTACCTCCCTGTCCGGACTAAAGCGGCTGCCTGCCAGGACATTACAACATAGGTGCTCCTGTCCCCCAGTAACCTTCCATGTCACTGCACTCCAGGCTCACATTTCACACTCGCGGTAACCAAGCCTGAGGACTTCCACATTTGTCACATTAGCCGGCTCTATGCAACTCACCAGCCGTAAAAAAGTACAAAACATTGTAAAACATCTTTGTAGAAGTATGTCTGGCCATTTCATTTGTCTGTAAAGCATTGTGGTTCTTAAAATTCCAGAGGTCTTTTCCTAGAATTGCAGCTCACGTGTGAATTCAATGTGAAAAAGTATCACACAATAAGAAATATTCAACATTTAACTTTTGGCAAATATTGAGGACGGTCAAAACAAGTCTATTGCTTACTATAAATTCAATATAAATAAAATTGTCTAAAACATACAAATGATGTTCAATAAGGATGAGTATAATAGGCAGTTATCTACACTTTGTCTACATTTGCCTATTCAATTGGACCAAGTCACCACCAACTTGATAATGCAGTCAAAGAAATCATTAAGATTTTCCATTGGGTTCTGTACAGCCGTGTCACTGAACTCACAGGTTATAGGAGTATCACTGGCCGTACGGTATTCCATAAATGAAAGCGTTGGAACATACTAACTAAAGCCAGGAAGCACCATCGTCCACACAAGTCTAAGCAGTGGCGTTCAGAGTTAGGCCTGTAATATAGCTCACCACAGGCAATTTAGGTCACCTGGCTCTGAGTCACCCGAAGGAATGTGTAATTAGCTTACCTGTTGCACCAGTTACTCATTCACTCACAGTAGTAGGAGGGGCCACCGTTACTCATTTGTAGTAAATAATGATTAAAAAGTTTTAAGTTCAGCAAAGAGGGCTTTTGGAAGGCCATAAATTGAAAAGTGAGAGCCATGGGAACGCGGTGTGGCCTTCAGTGTCACAGCTGCTCCAGTCGACTTCCTCTCCAAATGGGTTTCCTTCTATCAGTTGAAACCACATTAATCGCTGGACACAAGGCTAAATCATAGGCAACCTTAACTCTAGTTCAACATGACATTAATGTAACTGTAAGCTAAAAAATTGTGTCAAAAGAACACATATGATCCACAAATCAAAAATACAGTTAAGGTCATATTATAAACGTTCACCCATTTTAGTTATTACTGATAATTATAATTAATAGCATGCCAATATACATGATGGATTAAGTTCACTAACGACGACATACATGAAAAGGGATCCAACAATATAGAGAGAGTACACTCTGAAACGATTATAGACTATATAAAGATCCAAGTAAAGGTTTATTCTATTAATAATATCTCCCATAGACAAATAGACATGGTTTAGTCATAGTCACGCAAATGTTACCCAGCGAATGGGTGCACGATCTAAGGGCGGAAATGTGTTTAGCTCAGTTACGATTTAGCCTGGCTTTACAAACACACGGTAAACGACTTAAAACACACATGATCACGGCCACGGGTTATAAATTACAAAGCCAAGTCGTCTGGTGTCTTTTTCATGTCCGAGGCTGTCTAAATGTTAACCCCGGGTCCGGATAACACATTACCTGGAACGTGAATAAGGACATGCTACAAAATCACCGGGCTCATTCTCAGCATTGGCTAGCATGGGTTTTGCGGTTAACAAAAGACGGCAATTTTTTATTAAATAATGACACAGTTGGTCTTGTTTGATTGTACAAATTCCAAAACAATCACAAAACCTGTCGTTATTCCCACGAACTCATTTATAAACAAAAGATTTTTTGGCCCTGGAGGAAAGCTAACATAGCATTAGCTAGCATGCTAACTGAAAAGATAACAGCAACTCGTTGTTTATAATAAGCTTATAACAAGCGTTTTGCAGACGCAGACAACGATGTTATGAATGTAGTCAATGGGTCACCATATTTCGGTACATGAACACGAAAGAAAATCAAAGACAAGCAGACATTTTATAATAGGCCAAGTACTTGGCGTTATATTCAGTTTAAACCGCAACTTTCGTGTCTCGCCCCTTGTGTTGATCCAAAAGGCTGACGAAAAACAACTTTGAGCTAGTAGGTTTTGGGGCTTTTGTTGCGCTTACGATATTAACTAGTTATTTAACCAAACGTACTACAGAGTCTTAACAGTTTTTCGGAGTTTGTCGTTACTTACAAAGAGCAGACTGAACATTGAAATCCCGTGACTACCCCGAAGAAAGTGGAGGGAGTGTAGAAAGCGATGTCAGGTCGCCTTTTTGTTCCTCTTCAATGTGGCAGCCTCGCTTCTCGTTGGAGGTCGGAATCTGTTGTTGGGGAGGAGTCTCGCCGTCAGTTTGACCAAACCTTTAAGTTCTGTCGGAAATGGGAGATTCACAGTAGTGTAACGTAGTTAACTGCTACAATCACCAATAATAAAGACCATACAACTTGCCCGCCTATGTTGGATAATATGTTTTTTTTTAATAGTACTTATTAGTAGTCTAGAACTTGATAAAGTACCATGGAAATCCAATTTATTTTAATATAGGTATTATGTACGCGTTTGAATACAGTCCACCAAACGTAACACAAAGCAGTTGTCGTCAGTACGACGCAAGACGGATCCGGGTGTATGATGACAGCTCACCATGGTGACGATAGTTCCAGAAAATAACTGGACTGAAAACCAAGCAAACCCCATGGGGCTGCCATGAGATAATCACTGAATCTGATTCTCACAGATGAAATATTATATATAACACATTAGATTTTTTTAAATTATTTTTTAGAAAAGTAATTGATGTTTGAATGCATTGATTACAAATGCTTTACAAATAATTAGGTCTTGTATAGATGGATTAGACATTGAGAAGGGTCATTTAAAGGTCTAACATCAATTTTGGAATTAAAGGAGTGCTAAAGTAAACTTCCATCTCCCTCTAGTGTTTCTTTCTGGAATGAGGCGAATCAGGTGAATGAAATTTGTGAAAAGACAAAGAAAATGCCTGTGTCACCTGGTACGTTATTGGCTGCTTTTGAAATTGAAAACTACGTTTTTCTGAGAAGTGGTTATGGAAAGTAGCGACCCATTGTGAGGGAATAGGCCTACAAAGTGAAATATTGCCTTGTTAATATAATGTGTAATTTGAAAACATACATTTTGTGTAGTGAATAAAACATAAAATGCTGTTTTTTTTTTGGTTATAGTTTGTAATTGAAAGTCTCACACAAACATGAGGGATGTAATTTATTGATATGATACTAATACAATCAAGTACTGCAGATTTTGTAAATGCAGACAAATGTCTGTAATCAAAGAGTGCATTTTAAAACTATTGCTTAGAGTGCAATAGGCAATAACACATCGTATGCTGATAAATGGTAGCCTACATTACACAAACAAAACTTCACAAATAATCCTTCACGAACAATGCTTTAGTGCTAAGTACAAGTTGTAATGTTTTTTTATGTATCATTGCTGTATTAAATATTTCTATGTTCCAAGCTTCGGTGGTCATGACATCCCTGTTAAATTATAATTTTGTATAAATACATCTTCATCAGTTTCATGTGCAAATTGGAATAACTGTTTGTATTTATTTCAATCAAACAAATATCCCTTAAACCAAAGTAAGCTTTTTCTGATTGATTTTATATTTTTATTTTAAATTTTGAAAAAAAAAATAAAATAAAAACTGACACTTGTCAAAAAATTTCCACATTAGGCAAATTCTGCAAACAAGTGACATTGTCTATGAAAACATAAAATAGGAGCACATCTACAATTTAAAATAGCCTACATCACTATCTTATGTTCAAAATGTAAGTTGTCGAAAAAGGCAACATACAGCACAAACCTATTTTCCTGTTTCAACAGTCTTCTCTGTGCTCATTAGGAGAAATGGTCATATAAAATGTCAAATAAATGTGAATACTGTTTTGATTTTACAAAGCTTTTTCTTATTTACAGAAGGCATAGTAAGCGGCACAGACGTGTGGTTCAGATTGGACTGAATACATTCATTCTGAGTGAAAGGGCCTTTTTATAATTATGTTCCATTAATACAGTGTTGAGGAATTGGTTGTAATGTAATGGTCATCATGGAAATGTCAACTACAGACACACTATTTCATATTTATTTGCCTACTGGGGTAGTGGAATAAATGTTTACGGGTTTCTGTAATGGAAATTAACAAATAGTCTAATATCCCTGTTACAGTACAACACTACAAATAAGAAGTAGCTACCTGGAAGCCTTACCTAATCCCTTTACCTATTAAGAGTAAACCCAGGTTCTAACTATAGTTCATGTTTACACAGATGTCCCATCATAGGTAAAACAATGATCCTGTTGAGGACACCATAAATATGTATGCAGCGATACACATGGACATGAAGATATCCAAATTGCACGTTCATAAATTTAACCATTTAGTGCCCTCTTAATAATTGTTATTATGTATTAAATATTATTTTGCGTTAATATGCATTCTTTGGAGATTTCTCAACTAAACTTGTATGTAGTGCAAACTACAGTAAATTTAAACATAAACTGTATGGATCTTTCTATTCAAAAAATTGTATCAGCTTCTTATATAAGAACACAAAAGGACTGTCTGCAGCCAAAAACACCAACCATGCCCTTTAGTCCAACTCGTGTTGTTCTTTTGGTGTCAGAGGATGTGGGCAAGATGTGCAGTCACATGGGAATGCCTGTTACTAGCACATTACAAAGTTAGACATTTGACAGTCGGAAAACACAAACATCAATGGCAACATCACATCATTCAATGTCAAGCAACAAAAATCTGACAATATAATTATTAAAAATATCACAAGAATCTAAAAAAAACACAATAAAACACACACTTAAAGAGACTAATGCCGAAATTCAGAATGGAACTCTGTTTTCTACTTATTTGCACTTAACTCCAGCCCCCTACTCTATTCTCAGGGCACAGCACTTCAGATTCTTAGCACCTCTTTGTCAGTAGATGGGCTATTAACCAAACACTCGTAAATACCGCATAAATATGGACTCAAATTGCTTTTATTATGATTTATTTTAAATGTCATTGCTGCTGTTTTATGTAATGTGTATAATAGTAATCTGTAAGTTGTTGTGAGGTGACATACATACAAGTACTGAAAATGTAAGACTGGGTTATGTGGGACAAAGTAAGAACCCTGAGAAGGATGAGTGTATGTATTCTGTAGAATAGAGCCCATTAGCCTGATCGGAGGGCATTTGGACCCATACTTGATCACCCTCCTTCAGCTCAAGGACTGCACTACCAGATGCCTGGTCCATGTAGCCTTTCTTGTATTCATCATAGGTGTAGGTAGCTGGTACATTGTTTTTATAAAGGGCCACCCACAAACTAGTTCCCTTTACATGCATGTGGTAAGCAAAGTAGTAGATGCCAGAGAGAGGTGCAGTGAACATGCCAGTAGACGTGCTGTAGGCATTTTGCCCATTGTATAGAGTTCTATCAAACTTGATTGGCATTCCAGAAGGAGGGAATGGTGTAGTTAGGATGGCTGTAAAGGCTGGTGCAACAGAGGCTGAGAGTGGCACCTGGGTGTATACAGGTCCTTTCCTATCTCCTGGTACTTCATCTCCTTCTAATTGTGAATCTGTGGGACCAGCGACAACAGTTTGTCCATTTCCTGCAGGACCTGGAGGCCCTGGTGGTCCTGGAGGCCCTGGGTTACCATTAAGGCCTGCAGGTCCTGGTTTTCCTGGAGGACCCTGCGGACCAACGGGTCCCTTCTCACCAACTTTACCAATCCCTGCTGGTCCTGGAAGTCCAGGCTCACCCTTGGGTCCAGGTGCACCCTGTGGCCCCATAGGACCCATTGGCCCTTGAAGACCAGGTATTCCTGACTGGCCTCTAGGTCCCGGTGTGCCCATAAATCCTGCTTCCCCTTTGGGTCCTGGAACACCAGCTGGACCTGGATTTCCTGTTAAACCAGTATGTCCTGGCTCACCTTTAGGACCAGGTTTTCCTATTGGGCCACTGAAACCAGGGTGGCCTTTCTCCCCAGGAATGCCAGGCTTTCCAGGAAGTCCACTGTTTCCTTGTTCACCTCTAAGGCCAGGTAATCCAGGAGGACCCTGAGGACCCAGTTCGCCCTTTTGCCCTGGTAGGCCATGTTTTCCAGGAAGTCCCATTGGACCTTGTAGACCTGGTGGTCCGGGTTGTCCATCAAGACCAGGTTCTCCAGATGGTCCAACCATTCCCGGCTCACCTTTATCACCTTGAAGACCAGGCAATCCATTATGCCCCTTGTCTCCTTTCTGCCCACCTAGACCTGGTTTTCCAAAGCCAGGAGTCCCTGGGATTCCAGGAAGTCCTCTAAGACCTGGCTCACCTTTCGGGCCAACAGGACCTGGCAGCCCTGGTAAACCATCTATTCCAGGTTTTCCCAAACCCCCTGGCCCGGGTAGTCCTTGAGGACCTGGAGCCCCGGCCTCTCCTGGTTCTCCTTGATCTCCAGGCAGTCCTTGATCACCTTTAACGCCTGGTGGTCCTGGTAAGCCCTTAGGACCAGGTTTTCCGATGCCTGTGAGCCCAGGAGGTCCCATGTTGCCTTTAAGTCCTGGTGGTCCTCTTATTCCTGGAGGCCCTGGCTTCCCAATTCCATCTTCACCTTTAAGTCCACGGTCACCTGGTAAGCCAGCAGTGCCTTTAAGTCCTGGTTCTCCTCTTGCTCCAGGAGGGCCCCTGGTACCTGGAAGTCCTGGTTTACCATTCAGTGAAAGGCCGGCAGGACCAGGCAGACCAGGTTGTCCTGGTTGACCTCGAGGACCTGGTTCACCACGGGGACCAACTTCACCTTTATCCCCAGATAAACCCTTTGGCCCAAGTTTTCCAGGTAGACCAGGGAGTCCAGGTTTTCCAATTCCTGGAAACCCAGGAGGTCCTGGAGGGCCTGGAGGTCCATTGACTCCAGGTTTCCCAAGTCCAGGCTTTCCTGTCAGTCCTGGAGGTCCAGGTGGACCTCTGGGTCCTGGTTTTCCTTGAGGGCCCGGCTCGCCCTTGACTTCTATCATGGGTGGCATGTCTGGAAAAAAAATAACATGTATATTTATTATTTATATTTGATTTTACAAAAAACATTAAGAAGTAGTAATAACATATTTGTAGTGCTACTTGTATTTATGTCAATATATTTATAGAGATGGCGCAATATTGGTATAACAAATTATATTTTTGTTTGTTGTTGTTGTTGTTGTTTTGTTTGTATTATCATAAACATATAAAACATTCCATACTGGTCAAAGAGGACAACTTCAAGATTAAATAGAAGCAAGTATAATAAGTAATTTACTATATTTAACTGAATTTGCTTTTTGAAATTTGGTTGGTTGGGCTGATTGTGAGGTTTGATAGAGCATGATCATCGTTAATTAGGAGGTCCAGAAGGGAAAACATGGGAGTTGTTTGTTTAGACCAATATGTATGAATTTTATACAAATACATTTAATTAATCAAGAAATTATTTTTGCCAGTGCAGTCATATCATAGGAGAGGAAAACATACAGCTACTGTGTTGTTAAACCCATAGTAAGAAAATTACAGCTAGATGAAATATTTAACCAATATTTGGTACTACAAAAAAATACTTAATGAAAACAAACTGTAAATAGCATACAATTTAAAAGTTGGTGTAACAGAATGGGCACTAACTGAGGCAAAATCTTAAGTTAGGAGATCGCAGCGTATGAAGGCATAGGGACAGACACAAATAGAGAACAAAGAAAAAAATGCTGGTACTATTTATTTAGTGCCTATAGGGTAAAAAGTGAACTCATGATTTATTATTTAATGTAGCATTTGTATTCTTAATTGTGTCTTTATTTATTTACTTATTTATTTTTATTTAACTATTTATTATCTACTTCTTATTTACCTATTTATTTATTTATTTATCTATTAATTTATCTTCACTACAAGTTCATGTCCATTCATTAGCTCTTTGTGTTAAACAAATGTTTTGTTTTGTGTAGATTAAATGTAATTAATATTACATGTTACGTGCTTAAACACTCTAGTAATAAAATACAAATGTTAGCAAATGTACATAAATGTTACCTAAAAATAAAGTAAATATTTTGCATTTTGGTTGTGTTCACTGGAATGAAAATCTCTGAGAAGGTATGCGTCTCAACAAACCTCACTCTTATTTGGGATCGAGGCCCCCTCCTGTTTATTTCCATGGAATTGTTGTTCGTTTGGCTATAATCCTCCACAGTATGGTATAAAACAAATGTAAAAACATACACACTAGTAACATAACTACATATTTTTTCCAGAGAATAATGTAGGTGAAGTGCCTCCTCCAGAAAGTTACATACTGTACCTTTAACATGTACTATCACTTAAATGCTTGACGTCCATTATGCATCTCAACTTTCAAAAACATTATTGGTGAAAGGTCATACGTAATACTCATGACATACTGCACTAACCTCAAATAACCAGCAGAGGGAAGTAAATGCATTGCATTTACTTCTTGTGCCTTCAAAAAGTTGTTTACTTTGAAAACCTCTACAAAGAGTACTATTGTATAGGTTTTCATCATCAACCAAAATGAAGCAAACCTACAAAATACTTGAATTACTCACCAACATAATGTCCTTTTCCCTCTCGAAACGGAGGTCCGATTGGTCCTTTCATCATGGGCTGCATGTACTTCATGTGGGGCATAGGTGGATAGCCCCCTGCATGAGCACATCTCCAAAGCATCAGAAGCACACATAGATGGATAAACAGCATTTTCACCGACCAGGCCACCTTTCAAAAGTCACGCACAACTGGAAATACAGACAAGAGAAGAAAACTCTGCTTAAAATATGTAAAGCAGATTAACTTATAAAGAAGATTGAAAATACATTTAACATTCATTAACAAAAATATAAAAAGGTAATCTATATAATAATTCTATTTATAAGTACTCAAATTGCATGTTAAAACATAACAAAGCCATAGCATAAAATTCCAGGACCTATGGCCTCAAACTTATCAACATGTTCTTTATGATAAATGTGCCTTACACATCAATTTCAATATCACAAAATGTTTAAAATTAAATGTGAAAGATCCACTATTATGAATATCATGTGTACTGTGTATATTTGATAAAATATTATAATGGCATTTTTTAAAAGAGTTATGGAAATTAGAGAGGAAGCTCTTTGAGTCTGGCTGGGTGCCTGTTAGTGAGCCTTGTCTGCTAAAGGGGAGCACAGCTTTGAAAATGGAGTAATCTTAGTCATATCTGGATGCCCACTTGGTTCAGGGTCACATTGTGTGCAGAAGCTGAGGAAACACACTTCCAAACAGCAGCTGGGCTTTAATAGAGATCAGACCAGGCCAGGCATTTCAGACTTCCACAATCTGTTTATCAAATATTTTCCCTGAAAAGCTCTGCAGACATTGTTTAAAAACCTCATGCAATCCTCTCCGGCTGGCGTCTATGAGCCACTGTGAGAGCAAAACTAAAGACTCACACATATAGAACACCCACACGCCAAATCTCTACCCATACCAGTACATACTGCACACAGCTACAGGTTCATAGTAATATGTTTGCTTCACAATGATTTTCAAATGAAAATTCTTATTTTACATAAAAATATATGTTTTCCTTTTATCTCTAATAGACACTTTTAATTAGGCAAAGTAAGCCTTTGTGGGGGCAAAACTGTAATATATTTAAAAATATTTAAATTCAAGGGTAGATTTTTTTGTTTTGCCAGAATTTAAAATAAAAAAAAAATTAAAAAGCAAAAAAGTACTGAGCTTTAAGTGCATTTCAAGGATTTAAGACTAATTAATAATGAAGATCAAGCTTGAGAGATGAGCTGAACATGACATTTCTGTGAGGTAGTCATGATAGAAAAGACCTGTGCCACTGTAAAGTGTACAAAAAGTTAGAAGTCCTTAATTATGAAATGAACCACAATTTTCAACAGGACAGACTCATCCGCAGGCCTCAGAGTCAATCACATTGTCATAGTAAAAGGCTGGACCGAAAGGTTGGTCATTGGCTCTTGTTCAGTTTTTCATCATTTATTTATTTTTTTGTTTATTTATTTTTTGCTAGGCCTGTACAATGTAGGCAATGTATTGTTATTATTGTATACATGATAAAAATAACTAAGGTTCTGCAATTAATCCCAGCAGTAACAGACCAGAGTCAAATTATTCCTTTCAAATAAAGTAAGATCAACTTTACTGCCATCCAACGTGACTTGACACGGGGCAAAACTTATCTTAAACATAACTAGCCACTCAATATGCCGCTGTACAATGTATACAGTAGAAAGTACAAGATGTAAAATTTAAGTAACTGTATACACCATCAACAATTCAGCAACAATTAAAAACAATATACATATAAAATTGTTTATTTGGATGACATTAGGTCCCCTGTGTTTGACCCATCCTGCAGTGCAGTGGATGCAACAGCGCAGCGGGTGCCACAGTGCAGTGGGAGCCACAATGCAATGGGCGCCACAGTGCAGCAGGCTCCACAGTGCCACTCTCCAAATGTTGCGGATATATATACCCACTGTTCTGTACTTTGTTCTCCAATTTTATTTTCTTAATAGTGTAAGATATAGCAGCAAATGAAAAAAGAATCCACTACTCACTAGCGTGATGTGTAGCTATTGATCAGTTTCTTTTATTAAGTTGTTTTAGATGAATATTGTGATTTGAAATGTTTATATTATAACATAATGATCCATGTGTGATTATAGATTATAACTACATAGCAGACATAGGCCAAGGTGTGGACCAAACTGACTTAAAATGGAGCAAAGACAATGCTCTTCCATTAAATATTATTTTAGCTGCCTCAAATGAGGGTTCAAACAATTTAAATGAGGTTGCAATGCACCCTTTGGTACCCCTGTAGTCCAGGACTGAGCAGACGCAAGCACAATATGTCTTTTTTAATATTAATTTCTTATAACATAAGTTTAACAGTTAAGGAGCATGTCATTTAGACTTCCTGAGTTCTGGTACTAAGGGGACGAGCTCGTGTGTGTGGGTATGCTGCACTCAAAGTGAGGAATGTTCTGGAGTGCAAAAATAACCCCGGGTAATCGCACACCATCAAATATTCCATTGTTTTGTGCCAGAGTCTGAAACACAATCTGAAAGTGTAGCTAAAGGTTACATGGGTAAAATTTAGTGGTTTTAAAGTCTGTACTATGTAATCAATTGATATCTGGATGTTTGGGTTAGAAATGCATATCAAATTGAAGGTAAACTATGTGTTACACCCTCTGTCTCCTTGCCAGGGAAATCCAGAATGATATCTCTGTCTCTGTATTATATTATTATACAGGGGGATATCAGTCTGGTCCCCACACCCTCCATCACGCTTCAAGCCAGAACCAGATTTGTTTTCTTTCAATGATGCATGCCAAAGGAGCTCATTGGTTACCCATCATTTCTCTCACTTCAGATTAACAGAGTTTAGTGCTTCGCTCATTGATTGTACAGAATGTTTTTCAGTTCTGTGTGATTTTTTTTCCTTTTCTTTTTTCCTCATAAGCAGCCACATTTGGTTTGATATGTGCGGGCAATGCATGTCCTTGACTGGCTAATCCACCTGTCAGTCACACCTATCTGAACACAGGGAGATTCAGCAGCAACCAGACTCATGTAAAGTATTAAAGGATTGTGTATTCTGTTTTCAGATTTCCCAGGTGCCAAGTGGAATTGAAATAGTGACACAAGGGGAGCAGTTTCCTGCAGAGGGCAGTGTCAGACAGCTTTGTAACAAAAATAGTAATATACAAATAAATTTAAAAAAATTTAATGGTTTAATATATTGTAGGGGGGTGTATTATTCATTATAATACTGAATGTTTTTGCATCCTGTTTGGGGTAGAATATTAGAGTATATGCATTCACATAACATAACAACATCATTCTCACATTGTAATTATAGTGAAAAATGCTAGACTTCAGACCCTCTCATGGCCAGAATCTATTTTGGGTAGGGCAGTAAATAATTTTCAATCAAATCCTGATCAAGTAGTTTCAAAACGTCAATGAGTAAAGGTATTACACTTTTATATGACACATGACGCATTTAGACCACCATGTTATCTTTCAGGTTTTAAGGATGCTATATTCACCAAAAACAATGTATTAAAAATGTTTAACAAATATGTCTCCACTTTCCTTGCTCCAAACGCTAAGTAACTCCAGCACAGTGGCTCTGGGTCGCCCAGGTTGCACAAGCCTTTGTATGCAGAGTTTCTTCTCGTGTCTGGTGGGTATCCTCCTGGCACCCCAGTTTCCCCCATCAACCCGAAACATACACAAGAGGTAAAACCTTCCACCTTAGGTAGTCTTGACCAAGCATAACTCAAGATTTGAAGCTAGCTCCCCGGGTGCTGTGCTGCAGCACCTATGCTCCTGAAGAGATGCCCTAATGGCAATGAAGGATCGGTCAAAAGAAAAATTATATGGGGACAATAGTGCACCTTAAATGTAAACCTAATGTATGTGGCTTCTGTATAGGGTATAAACCTTTTTGGCAGCAGAGGAAGTGATGAGTGGGTGAAGACATATATAATGCTTTTGAGTCACGTAGGCTTGTAGGCTTGTACAGGATCATACTCCAGGATTGAGGGTTCAAATGGTGCCATAGAGAGATCACAAGATTGATGAGGGAACAATGTTATAACAAAGTAGAAAGCTCCAAAAAGTTAATTCTGCATAATATCCCTTCTTTAACTCTTTGACACGTCTGTAGCCAATCTTGTGGTAGGCCACATTGTTTGGAATAAAATGGAATTTCCTTTGTGTTAAATGGCACTATAGCAGGAAGCATTCAACTGTTGTTTAAGCTGGGGTTTAAAATGAGAAACTGCTGTATCGGGAAAAATCTGAATAAGTCATGTCTGTGTTCACAGACCTCATTTGTGAAAGACATATTTTTATATTTTTTAATTAAATAAATAATAATCACAATGAATCAAAACAAGGAAACTTTTGTCAAATTTAAGTCCTAACAGAATATTTATCTCTTATGGCAACTGGTTTTATACTGTACTAAGACCTTAGAGTAGACTTGGAAGCATTGGAGAAATTGAGTAACATGATTCGCAAAGACTTAAACGGATTCAACACTAGTTATAATGGGTTATTCGCAAACAGATTTGGAAGCATATGGACATGTCAAAAGTTTGTTAAGAGGCTATCAGCAGAAATAATAGTGAAAATTCCATGGCAGAAGCAGCTATTAAGTACAGGAATAAAAGCACGCACAGTAAACACACAATGGTCAAGCATTTGATCTCCCTGTTGAACCAGTTCAGCTCTGAAGCCGCCAATCATCTCTCAAGCTACAGCCCAACCAACACCACTCCAGTGAGCACAACAAGACACACACCATCACCATCACTGGCAGCAAAACAGAGAAGGAAGCTGATATTTTTCAGTCCTGAACCGAAAGAAAGAGAAGGAGAGGGAGAAAAGAGATTATAATTTAATAAGGGGCAGGAAATCTTGGTCAAATCCCCCTGAAGCAGATGAAATGCCTCTATGCTCCAGGCTACTGGACTGAGACTGACTGAGCTCCATCTGAATGGGCTTCTGGCAGAAGCAACAACGCAGATGACCAAAAAGCATATAATGGGCCAAAATGAAAGCCTTGAAAAGCCCATTTTTTATACAATTAGATATTAGGCCATAATAAGATTCACTTGACACATGTTCAAATTCATTATATGTAAAACATTTATTGTGGAAGTAAAGCAATTGTCACCAAATACTATAGTATTTGGTT